CACACACACACACACACACACACACACACACACACACACACACACACTACATGGCCTTGTTCATCTCTCTGTATCCTACCAGCAGTCTCTTATACATGCTTCACTACATGTTAAGATATAGAATAGAATTGAATTGTACACAACAGAAAACAAGTTGCAAAGTGCTTGAAAGTCGTGCAAAGAAATGACCTGGTATGAATAGAGTCCGTGTGTGAGTGGCATGAGTGATGAGGGTAACTCAGGCCATGGCTCAGATTAGTGAGGTGATTGGGCAGGGGTGGGGTGTGGGGAGAAAGTGTTTTTTGACAGTCTGAATGTCCCAGGGGAAGAAGGTGTTTTTGAGTCTGAAGGTGTGGGACCTGATTGACCTGAGGCGCCAACCAGAAGGCAGCAGGTCATACAGGTGGTGGGCGCGGTGCAAAGGGTCGCCTGTGATGGCCCTGGTTTTCCTGAGATGTCATTAGTTGGCTGGGTTGGTGTGCAGTCATAGGTGTACAATAGAGGGCTGAGAATGATTTGCTCTGTAAGCAAACTGGTGGGGGTTGAGGGAAGGGGGGTAGGCAGTCTCTGATATACTGAGACATTTTCTAGTTGGTGAGGGCTACGATGTCTCCACACCTGGCGGGGGTTACTATCAGTGAGGAGATCTGGCAATCACAGTTGAAGGAGCCAGACAAATTGTGAGAAACTCACTCTAATCAGGATCATCTTTTTTGTCGCAATCAGATTATGGAACTGTGTTTATTTACTAAAATAAACCAGAAAGGAAACTGATGAGGCCCCGTCCTCTCAGATCACAGCACAGAGGGAGGGATTAAGGTCTGACCAGACATAAACCCACGATTATTCAAACTAATCTGGCACCACATTCTGTTTTAACCTAGATATTCAGATTGTGAAGTTAAATAGAAACTTGTTATGGTATTATGTCTCGCTCTCTCTGTATGTGTGCTTAAGTCTGGGTTTTTAGGGGTCAGACTCTAGTTGGAGCAGACCTATTGTAGTGATTTTATCCCCTTTTTCAATTGCTGAGTGAGTCAGACCAAAGGCATCTCAAGCTGGCAGCACAAGAAATGGGTTCAGGATCAACGCATATCCTACCACACGCAGAGCGCCCCCCACGAAGTTCTTTCCACCTTCAAATTAATATTTAATTACCACTGAGCAACACTGTGGCAAGTGCAGCACGCAAGCACAGACGCATGAAGACACAGGCGAAAAGTAAAAGCATGGGAATCACATTACACTTTTTATAGGCTTTTTACAGGGTCAGCAGACGAGGTTAGGAGGTCAGATCAATTTCAGAAACTGATCATTTATCGTTTCCTTTCACCACATTTCGCCCTTTGTTTAAGAAATAACGAGTCCTTCAGCTACACAGCTCCGAAAAGCTTGAGGCAGTATAATATGATGGGTTATGGTGACCATCTTACCGTCTTCAGGCTCGCTCTCTCCACCGCTTTCTTCACTTTGCCGTAGGTGCCTTTCCCCAGCGTCTCCATCACCTCATAACGGTGCTTTAAGTTGTGCTTGTGCTGATGCTTTTTTACTTCAATGGACGCTGTGGCTGTGGATGCCTGGCCCAGCGCCTCCACGCCTACTTTCATGTTTCTCTGTCGCTTCTCCGCGTTGCAGGCACGGCGGCTGTCCATTCTCGGTGACTGCTCGCCGCCATGCTGGCTGCTGGACGCCGCGTCCTGCAGGCAGCCCAGCTCGGAGCGTCCGCTAGTGTTCATTGCGTCTCTGCTGTCCGCCTCACGTCTGCCCATCCTCTCTGCGCACCTGTCAGGAGCAGCTTTCCTCGGGACCGGATCCCCAAATCAATTTGAGTTTTGATAAAAAGCAGCTGGAGCTCTTTTTAATGATCGGGTTGTCCATATAGAGTCTCACACGTTTAAAGGAGGCTTCTGTAATAGTCTGACAATTAAGAAATGCCTCAAAGCCGTCTGATCTATCGGCCCAGCTGTTGTTTTCTACTACCACTCTCAGTCTCAGGAACACAGCAACAGGAGCGACGGGAACCACACGCTCCGAGGCGAGGGGTGGAGCCTCCACAAGGCAACATCCCCGAGCGTCACACTCGTTTGGGATTAATTTGGGTTTTTCCAGCGAATACTTGACCTACCCAGCGGCAGAAACACGGGGGAAGAAGGCATGCGGGGAATGTCCTGCGGGTCAGATTTACCCTAAATCCATCACTTCAATCAGACATTTGTGGTGATGCTGTGCCATGCGGCGAGCTTCGAAGACTCTGAGGAAGTTGGCAGAGACTTTGCAGTCAGAGAAAAGGGATTTTATTATTTTATTTAAAACGTACATTTTAAACAGTAAAACAAAGAAAAAAAAAACTGTTATAGATAAAGTAACCTCGGTTAAACGTCATGAAATAAGACAGCAGAAGCAAAGGACAGTGAGAGATACATGCTCTGTGGCTGTGTTGTGTGCAGAGTACAACTAACAAGTTAAGGATGGTTTAGCTGTCAGCAGTTGTTAAACCAGTATCTGCACTATATCTGCCAAATTTCCCTAGCAGAACTTAACACCAGGTAATGTGTGGCCCTTAATTTAAAACACAGCCAGAGAGAGTGAAGCAGCAGCAGCAGGTCCCACTCCAGCTTATGTGATACAAGGTGAGTTTAAAAAAGTTATTCCAAATAATCATTAGTGTCAGTAGCAGTTTCAGCTGAAAGGACTGAGCTTTATCATATGCTGGACGAGGAGTTCACAGCTACAAGATATTTTGAGGAAAGCAATGTGTTTGAAACTGAAGATATAGCATTTTAAAATACCACAGTGGCTCTGCTGCTTTATTAAAAGAAACGCTTTTGTTAGTTCTAATGAAACCGCATCAGGCAGGACACCAGCATAACTGTGAGCTCTCTAGTAGATGTTTCCGTGCATGACTAAATCACCCAGAATATCTGCAAGACCATTACACTGCAGTACATGACGTCTCTGGCTTTTGTGGTTGGTAACATCAAAATAACACTAACAGAAAGTGGGCTTAAAAGTAGGACAGGGGTTAAAATGAGGTTTACTGTTCTTTGTGGATTTTTGGAAATTGTTAAACTTATTCATCCTCGACTGACTCCTTCGTTGGGTTACCCACCACAAGCATATTATACTGGTTCAAATACTTCTTTCTCATTTGTTTCTCTACTGTTGTTAAAATTTGATGACATATAAAGTCATATTTTTGGAGCTTTGTGCAAACTTTTGACTTAATCACAGCAACATTTGTAATGACAGTTACATACTGGAATTCAGTGCATGCAGCATACAATAAGGCAATGCCAAAGAAACAGTTTTAAACTTGTGGTTGAAGGTTGGAGATCAAAAGACATGCTGCTGAGGCATGAGCATGCATCTCTGAAACATCAGTGACATTTTTGCATGAAAACAACATTTCAGTTGAATGCAAAAGTTTAAACAACGAAATGCTTAAATAAATATATTTCAAGTGTAAGCCAGAAGAATGTGGCCACATGTTGAACATGCTGGCTTTTTTCCTTGTTGTAGTGTTGAGAATAGATTTGTGATGAGATCACAATCCATTGTTTCCACTGCAAACAAATAGATGTGAGTGAACAGTGACATCTAGTGGTCAGTTTTAAAATAATCTTTATAATTAATTTAATAAATGAAAATTCTCTAATTCATAAGTTTCCTTGATTACACATTTTTAAATGAATATTATATTTGGTATTCTGCATCACCTTCAAAGCCCAGCCACAGCAGTCAAACGGTGTACGCTTGGAGTTTGTCCCTGTTGCTATCCTCTCTTTCATAAGTGATAAATGGGATTAAAAAGGTAACATTATGCACATTAATTTAAAGGCAGCTAAGTTACACAGTGTAAGATATATGCACTGGGGGAGTCTCCTGGGATTCAACAGTTACTTAGTAACTTCAACAGTAACAGTAACTTAGTAAACAGCACTCAATCATTGAGATACTGAAGTTAATGAAGAATAAATGTCAATAAAACATGAATTTCATGTTTCTTTGTGTGAAGACCTAAAAATTAGATTTAGCTTGAAATTTAAAACTGAAATAAATACTTGCACTTTCCAATAATCCCACTTACAATTGATCATGGAATATTTAGTAAGAAACAAAGGAAACACTCTGATCTTATCTTTTTTCTTTTTCGTTTTTTTAGGAGTGACCGTTTAGGGAGAGGTTCAATTTAAATTGAGTTTATGCGTATGAAACATTTGCTTTTTGGGTGATATTTGTTGCATTTCTGAGATGTTTTGCATGGCTGCTACTTTGGTCGGTTCTCTTTTGTAATATATACCACAGGGCTTTCCATTAGCACGAACACAAATCCTGTGGGCTTTAAAAGAAACAGTGAAACCAGTTCCTGCTGAAGTAAGGCGTCAGTGGTATTAATGAGATGAAATTCAGTCTCCTTGTCAGTATAGCTCTGAGTAAACTGGGACAGAAATGCCTATGAGCCTGCTGAGTAATGCTATCAGAGTTCACTTTATATCAGAACTGCCAGATAAGAGATCATTATGGCAGCTGATGCAGAAAAAGGTTTCTGAAGGAAAGCAGTACAAAATCATGTCTACCTGAAAAGACAACAGAAAAAGAAGTCACAGAGAGTAAGAAGACTGAAGAGAGGTTATTCTTTCCACAACACTGTGAGCTGTCAGTCGGGCTTCTGAATCACTGTCCCAGCAATCCTCCAGGAGCTCCCTCAGCGCAGCTCCCTGAGAACAATAAACATTTAGTCCACACATTACAGACACCACAGGTGTAAGTGGTACCACAAAGCCCCTATGCAAGAATACCTGTGGTAGCAGTTCCCAGTGTTCAGGTATACAGGGTCTTTTGTCCATATAGGACACGTACAGCATGAGGCTCTCCAGTGTTACATTGCTTCCCAGCTCTAGTTCATATGGCAAAAGATGCTGTGGTGCAGCTCCGCCTGCAGGTGGAAGCAGTGCTATTAGTTTTTTCTAGGCTTAGTGAATTGAAAATATGACTTGTCAGCCCAGAAACCAATGCATTAACTATCAGATTTCAAGCAACTGGGAAACCAGGCCGGCTGGAGCGCACTATTCACCAGTTTCTGATTCAGATCAGTTTTCCCCTTTCAGTGACACACCCACTGAAAAGCCAGTGTGGTAATTGATATTTTCTGAGAGGAATGAAAGCTGGACACTCTAGCAACAGCCTGAAATTGTACTGTTGATAATGACAACCCATTACAATAATAGGCTCGCCTTAAAGCAGAGAAAACTGAATGACCTGCAGTTTTTTGTTTCTAAATTCAGACTACATTAAAAGTATCATATTTGACTCCAAACACATCAGAAACACTGCAGGTGTATGACATGACATTTATCATTTGCACTGCTGCACCATTATTGTTTGTTTGTTAATTTATTTCAAACGTGTAAACAATATACAGGTACACTTTGTAAAGAAAATATGAGAGAGAGAGAGAAAATACTATACAAAAGTCAATACATTTCAATATTGCTACCGTTCTGATTCATTTACATGTTGAAAGGGAGTGGGAAGAAGTACACACTTATTTAATCCCACCCCTTTGCCATAAGTTATCAGTTAATATTTAGTCAGCTTCCTTACTGATATAATTTGTAATAAAAATAGTGAACAGATTTCTGAAACAATATATACTATATACTATAATATCACATCATGAAATTTTTTAAATAGAGACATTCACTTATTATCAATATTTTCCCTTTCTTTATAGTTCGAGAAGATCATATTTTTATAACTCTTTTTCAACTGTTTTCTGTTTGGACGTTGCTTTAATTCCATATTCAAACTGTTCCACAGTTTCACTCCATGAACAGAAACACAAAAGCTTTTTCTTGTAGTACGTACCTTACATGTAAAAAAAAAAAAAGATATTTTCTAGTCAAATAAAGCTGCACTTTACAGCTACACAATATACAGCAACCTTTTTACAGTTTGCCAAGCCGTTTAGGTACTCTGAATAACTTTACCTTGGCCTTCTGTACTACTCTAAAGAGCCTTGGACTTATTTTTGAACATCATAACATCATATCATCTACTCATAATGACTAACCTTCAAATAAATCATAGCAGCACATCCAGATCTCCCACAGCAGCAGACCCAAAGCATAAACGTCACCCTGCATGAGAAACATGCTTTCGTTCAGGTTCACAAAGCCTTCCAGGATCTCAGGAGCCATGTAGTGCAGCGTGCCCAGTTGAATACACTACAAAAATACAAATTTATCTATTAGAAATAAGTAATAATATTGGATGTTTTGATTTCATGTAATTCTAGTGTGAAATTTTAATTACTTCAAAAAACAGCAGCAAGTCTAGGTCTTCAAGTTTTTTTGTTTTGTTATTTAAATAAGAGGATTTGAGTGGATAAACAGTAGTACCTGTGTCTCACCTTCGTGTTTTTATTCTGGTTGTGCCTGCGGTAAGGCTCTGAACAAGAACGCAGAATGGTGGAGCATCCAAAATCACACAGGGCACAGGTACCATCCGCCTTCACCAGCACGTTGGAGCTGCTGAGGTCTCTGTGGGCCACAGGAGGTTTGTGCAAATCTGTATGAAAAATCCAATAAACAATATTTTGTTCCTGTAGCTTACTCTCACATACCAAGACAGCCTCACATAAACAGCTTATCATTATTTAAGATTTGTGGCCACATTAGATGAATCACTGCAGTAGATCCATTGTTTGGATAAAAACAACTCATCTTTATTCTTGATGATAATAGTTTAAAAACATGCATTCTATGCTTCCCACATCAAACAGACAACCCATGCACACATGCATTTGTTGCAATATTATTCTGGCCAGTACCGTGGCTGAGAAGGTCAGAGTGGAGATAGGAAAGTCCCTGTGATAGCGACTGGCACAGGTTCAGTGAGAACATCCAGCTCGTGGTTTGTTTTGACAAAAAGGAATGAAGAGATCCCTGAAATCAAAGGGATAATAGTCATTCGTACTTGACGCATACAGTGGTTTCAAATACATAAAGCGCTATAGACTTAGAGCCATCGAACATAAACTATTCAACCATAAATATAGAAAAGCAATTATGTTTCACACATTAGCATTAGTTTTAAACTTTATGTGGAGCTGTTCTACTCTTACTGATCAACTGAAGTCCTACAAGGTTTAACCATACAGTACCGGATTATCCGATCTATGTCCAGGTTAGAATAACAGCTTAATATGACATGAATGTCTTCTGACTATGAGAATGTGAGAGCTCCACACAGAAAGACTAAGTTCAAACTAGGAAGCTTCCCTGCTGTGAGGCAGCAATCCTGACCCCTGACCCATTAAACCTTTATTAATGGTTTTGTTCAGTATACCCATCTTAAAATCTTTACAATCGTTTCCACTTAGTGTTTGCAATAATTTTATTAGCCTTACTCTACGATAATTCTGTCTCGGACTAGACATCTGATCAGAAATGGTTTTAATGATGAATGAGTCACATAATGCGACATGTTTCCTTCAGTCTCCGATGGGATCAAAAAGGAGCTGAAATCATTGTGATTAAATAAGAGATGTGGGTAGAATAGCTGGTTTAATAAATATTTTTAAACACAGTGGCTTAACCTGGCATATAATTTGACATTTTTAGCGCCTGTTCATTTATTCATTTTTCTTTAACATTTACTCACGTTACTTTAGATAATTTGAATAAATATTTTTCTTTTACCTATATATTCTATTTGTCACTTGTAACAGACTCTTAGTATTATTTACAAATATTTCTCTGGTCTGTTCCATGCAGTTTTTTCCTTGAGCAGCTGTTGTCTTCGTGCAAAGGTTTTCACTCACATATTCAGCAAACTGCAGCACGATGAACCAGCTTTTGTCATCTGGTTTCCTCCCAGCACCGAGAAAGTTCACAATGCTAGTATGCTTTGACAGCAGTAGCTCATAAATCTCCTTTTCTGTGTTAAAATTATGTTCATAGGCTGCAGGTAAAAATTTGACAGCCACCACAGAGCCCTGGTATGTCCCTTGAAAAACAGTTGCAAAATGCCCTCGGCCCACAATCTGCAGGACATAAACAAGTAAAGAATCAGAACCTGTATGCATTTCTTGCTGATAATTTGCACACTACCTACTGTGGAATTAACCTGTTTCATAGCAGAGCATACCTGCTGTAGCTCGATCTGACTGATGTCGATCTCAGAGGTTTTTGTCATTTGGCAGGAACAGGAGGGTCGGATGTGGTAATCATGACTGGGGGACTGTAGATTCTTCTCTGAAATATTATAGTAAAGAAGTGATTTAGTTGCCACTCATAGAAAATAATCTGGTAGTACAATAAAGCCACCATTCATTTGAAAGCTTCCTGATTAGTTACTGAGAGCATGGAAATGTGACTGAAGAGTAGCAGAGGGAGTACCGTAACACAGATAAAAACCAAGGTCAGCGTAGCACATAGAATGAAGGCATTTCAAGGCCAAGACATCATGGGAACTCAATTTAAGTTGAGAAAATGTAGAAACAATAGCTTTATTCTTCTGTGGAATTAAAAAAGACAAATGGACACATTATTACCATATTAATACTAAAAATAGACGGGTAAACCTAATATCTCATCACAGTTGATTGATGTGAACATGCAATGCGAATATTAAACACTAAAAATGTAAAACTGAAGGCAGAAAATGGACCTTAAACAAAACAGTCTTCAACCTCTGAGCTGGCCAGCTTGTTGTCAACTTTTATCACATGCGATGTTATCCCTTAATGAAATTCACGCAAGTTACACATCCCAGAGAACGACTCAACAAGTATGGAATGCCAGGACTGCCAAAATGAATTAATTAAATAGACCGTTAAATAATAAATAAATA